CTTGTTGCCCAGGCTGGAGTGCAATGGCGCAATCTCGGCTCACTGCAACCTCTGCCTCCCAGGTTCAAGCAATTCTCCTGCCTCAGCCTCCCAAGTAGCTGGGATTACAGGAACAAACCACCATGCCCTGCTAATTTTATTACTTTTAGTAGAGACGGGGTTTCACCCTGGCCAGGCTGGTCTTGAACTCCTAACCTCAGGTGATCCGCCCACCTCAGCCTCCCAGAGTGCTGGAATTATAGGCGTGAGCCACCGTGCCTGGCCTAGTTACTCTGTTTTTAAATTAGTCACCATTCCTCAGTCACCTTCTGATTCCCAATAAAGCTGTCAATATCTTTATTCAGTGGTGGACTCTCAGAACTCTTTTCTTTTTCCATGTTAGTTGATGGTTTGATTTGGTTGTGTTTTTATTTTAAATTAGTAGACTTTATTTCTTAGAGAGGTTTTCAGTTTACACAAAAATTTAACAGGAAGTACCGAGTTCCCATACACTCTCTATCTCCAATGCCCCTCCCCAACACCAGTTTTCACTATTGTTTTTCCACTGTATTTCTTTTTTTAATTTAACTCATTTTAAGTTCAGGGGTACATGTGAAAGTTTGTTACACAGGTAAACTTTGTCATGGGGGTTTGTTGTACAGATTATTTCATCACCCAGGTATTAAGCCTAGTATCCATCAGTTATTTTTCCTGATCCTTTCCCTCCTCCCACCCTCCACCCTCCCAAAGGCTCCAGTGTGTGTTGTTCTCTGTATGTGTCCACGTGATCTCATCATTTAGCTCCCACTTATAAGTGAGAACATGCAGTACTTGGTTTTCTTTTCCTATGTTAGTTTGCTAAGGATAATGGCCTCCAGCTCCATCCATATCCCTGCAAAGGACATGATCTCATTCTTGTTTCATGGCTGCATAGTATTCCATGGTGTATATGTACCACATTTTCTTTATCCAGTCTGTCACTGATGGGCATTTAGGTTAACTGTATGCTTTTGCTATTGTGAATAGTGTTGCAAGGAACATACATGTTCATGTGTCTTTATAACGACAAAATTCCATTTCTATTATTGCAGTGGGGTTTCGAAAAGAGAAAAATCAGGTTGATCAATGCAACATTTTTAACTGGAAATTCAGACTGGATTCTGAAAATGACTCAATCTTGGCAAGGTTAGGGATAAAAGTAGAGAATCTCTGGTATTGCCCAAATGAAGGATATGCTGTTATTAGATAATTCATGGTCATCCATTGTCTATACCAAATACTGAGAGATTGTGTATTTTGGATCTCGCAAAACTTCCTTTGCTGCCCAGGTACCTAATATTTCAGGATGTTCTAAGGTTCACTTTAGTGCCACTTCTTTCCACAGCAAGGTTGCCCTAATCAATGGGGGGACTTTTTTTTTAAATCACCCATCTCCTATTCAAAATATCCATTCATTTCTTCACAGAGACTTAGTCTCTACATTGGTGGGGAATGCGAACAAGTTTTACCCAGGTAGTAATTCTAGGTGATTTGCAGATAGTTTTGCATTTGAGTTTTATCCACCTCCAATTCTGCAAACTTTTTACATTATGAAAAAATAGTACTTTTAAAATACCTGAACACTTCCGTATCTACTTTATCTATTCCTAGATATCACTTTCAAAATAAAAATGTTTTCTTATTCCTATTAAGGAATAAGATATGTTATTTTGGAGAAGACATGATATAGTTTCCAATTTAGTTATAGATTAAACATTACCAAATCCAAAAAGTTCCTATATTATTCCTTCTACTCAGCTCCCTAAAAGACTATGAAATTATTGTTTCTTTGAAAGTTTTAAATGCCAGAAATCTTAATATTAGTGAGCATGCAACCATGTTTCACTATTGATCCTGGATTCAAAGTTGGCAGTTAAAACTTCTACTTCAGGTGAAATTTGCAGAAACAAACAATTGCTTTTATTCTATATTCACATAGGGTATGTGTTAAGTTCAGATTTTATAAAGGAAAAAAATGCCTTAAAAATACCTGTTTCATTGTATTAAAAAGAAAGTTATGCTTCTGCAAGCAGGAACATAGATTATGTAAACTAATCTTTGCAATTGCTCATCAGCACATGTGGAAGATTAATTTTCCAGTCTTTTAGAAGCTTGAAAAGACTTGGTTAGTGTTTAGAATGAAAAATTGTTATCAGATATTGAAATACAGGAGAAAAGATGGATGGATTTCATTTTTATTGCAGAAATTAGTCACTGAATCCTGATCTTAGAGCTTCTTTTCAAATTATATTTGTTACCTGGAGACAGCAGTACATATTTAAAAAAAAAATTCTGGATTGGTTAGCTTCAAGAAAGTTATATATACCTTTATTTTAAAAACAATTACACACAAATGCACACACATCATTGTTTTGCAAGCTTTCCCAGTAAGAGTAGGGCCACCATGTGTGAAAAACTCTTTGTGGAGATGCCCTGAAATTCTATATTATCTTTTGGTTTCTTAACATGTATATTAACACTCATTATTTTATTATGATATATGTAGCACTTTCCATACGGATTCAGCTCCGTCTGCAGATTGTAAATTTTTGGAAGCATAAGCCATGATTTTTCTTAGTAAATAAAATGGCAACATCTGCACATTACTAAAACTATAGTAAAAACCTTAATAAATATGTGCAAAATATTTTTCAAAATAAGAGGTCTTGGTTACAAGCAAAAGAAACTGATGCTGGTGACCATAAGCAATATGGAAATATAGTAGAAAGATAATGTCAACTCCAAGGGATTTCCAAGGACTTAGGTTAGAAGATGCACAGAATTCAAGACAGCTCTGAGGAGCCAAGAATGTGGACCTCGGTGTCCCCTTATCTTTGCTCAGTAGCACCAGGCCTGAGAGTGGAACAGGCAGTCAGCCAAACATTAGATGCATGCCCACATACTGCTAGAGTCAAGGAGGGAGGTGTGGCCCTCTGGCAGCTATATTGGTCTCAACAGTTAACCCACTGGGGAATGCCCTAAAGCCACAACTGGGGTAAACTTTGAGTAGGCAAAAATTTACAAATCGAACTGCCCCTTAACCTCGCACATGCCTTATCTCACATGACATTTCTAAAGAATTTCATTTTATAAATAATACTTCTCTGAATGTAATGGAATATATTTCTTACGAATAAAATTGCGCATATTGATTCTGCGAGGAAAGTCAGGTCTCATCAGCCTAGAATCACACGATCATGTCCATTTATTCTGTGGAATCATTATGTTCTATCTCCTTTTTTGTCATTAGAGTGCTACTACTTACACAAATTGATGAAATCACCCGTAAAATATGATATTATATGTCTTACGTTTTCTCTCTATTCTGTAACCGCTTATAGAAACCGTGATGTCTTAGTTTATTTGTGTTCAAACCAACTCAATTTTTTAATTCCAAAAAATCCAGCTGGCTGGGAAGTATCATCTCTCATTTGTTTTTACTAAATGTGTCTTTATACTAAAGATCCCATTTAGTTACTTTTTTGCAAATGGGAAAATAAGTGATTTTGATTTTTTTTCACATTGCTTTTTGAATAGTTGAGACTCTACAGCAAAAGTAAATATAGTTCCTTAATACTTCTAAATGAGTAGTTCAGGACAGGTGCGGGTGGTTCACACCTGTAATTTCAGTACTTTGGGAGCCTGAGGCAAGTGCATCGCTTGAACTCAGGAGGCAGAAGTTGCAGTGAGCTGAGATTTCACCACTGCACTCCTGTCTGGGTGACAGAGTAAGACTCTGTCTCAAAAAAGAAAAAAAAAAAAGTAGTTTGTTAAGTAACACTTAAGTAGGCAGTATGTTCTTGCATTCTTTTTGAATTCTGATCACCTACAATAGAACCATAGTGAATTAATTTTGGGGAGAATGGGCTTCATTTTCTTATTCTTTATTGTACTTTAAGTATGGTACCATTCTTTGAAGCCATGAACGTACAACCCTCTCAACATTTAAAAAATGACGAGTTGGACTGGATGCAGTAAAAAGAGAGAACTGCTATGAATTGTCCAAAAACTCCCTAGCCTGGAAGATGCCCAAATTCACAACACCATAGTTACAATTTTTTAGGACATAAATTACCCTTCCAAATAATTATTGAAATAGAAAAAAAATCATATTAAAACCTTTTAAAATACAAATCTATTAAAAAACATTTTATACCGTACAACGTTAGATTACATAGGAATTTTATAAAACTGAAATATGAAAAGTGTTTAATAATACTTTACTTCACTGGAAGCCTTTAGGTTTATCTAATGTCTATCTGGAATCTGTTGTGATGAGTAGAATTTAATAGTTAACAATTTAATAAATTTTAAATTTGAGTGGTTTTTTTTTCAGTCCTATTTTGTAGTATATATTTCAGCAGACTTATGAATACTTCAGCAAAACAAGAATAACAGTGGGTCCTACCTCATAGAATTATTATGAGGATTGAATGCCATAAGGCATATGAAGATATTAACATGAACAATTTTAATCATAATAGTAATATTAATAGTGCTCTTATTCCTTTTACTGCGTTTAGGAACAAATATGCTTAAGATTTTAACCTAAAAATCTTGATATACAGTGTAACTACCACAATGACATGTAGTGTACAAGATTTTGAATTTAATAAAGCACGTTCAAAAATCGGTGCTAATGCCGGACCACAAAAGTGTTCCTAAAATTATGCCAAATTGAGTAATATGTTTTTCGTTTGTATCATAGCAATCAGAACAAGTACTTTATGAGTTTGAACATATGGGGAGAATTTAGCAAACGAACTTTTTATCTTAAAAGTTAATAGATTCTCCACATGTAGCAATGCATTAGTGAAGCTATTATCTGGGAAAGATTAAAAAATAAAGACACAAATGAATGGAATTTCTGCAAGGAGGAGGAGAAAAGAAAGGGAGAGAAAGGGAGAGGAAGATGTCTTAATAGGAAATGTGCACATTGGCCGTTCTGCCTTTCCGTACCTGGCCGCGCAGGAGACGCCATCATGGGAGTTGACATCCGCCAAAACAAGGACCGAAATGTTCGGCGCCAGGAGCCCAAGAGCCAGGATATCTACCTGATATGCTGTGTCAAGCTGTGGGTCAAGCTGTACAGGTTTCTGGCCAGACGAACCAACTCCACATTCAACCAGGTTGTGCTGAAGCGGTTGTTTATGAGTCCTACCAACCGACCACTTCTATCCCTTTCCCGGATGATCTGGAAAATGAAGCGTCCTGGCTGGGAAAACAAAACGGCCATGGTTGTGGGGACCATAACGGATGACGTGCGGGTTCAGGAGGTGCCCAAACTGAAGGTGTGTGCGCTGCGTGTGACCAGCTTGGCCCGCAGTCGCATCATCAGGGCGGCGGACAAAATCTTCGCTTTCGACCAGCTGGCCCTGGACTCCCCCAAGGGCTGCGGCACCGTCCTGCTCTCCAAGATGAACCGGCATTTCAGCAAGGCCCCGGGAACCCCGCCCAGCCACGCCAAACCCTACGTCCGCTCCAAGGGCCGGAAGTTCGAGCGCGCCAGATGCGCACAGGCCAGCTGAGGCTGCAAAAACACCGTGGATCCTACTGTCTTATTAAAACGATTTTGGACGCTGAAGAAAAGAAAAGAAAATGTGCACATTGACGTTGCAGTCAGGGGTGAGAAAGTCTCTTAAGTAGCTTTTCACATGAGGTTTCTTATTGTTGGTTTACTCCAAATGTTGTCAAACTTCCACACGGTACATCAGAATTGGCTGGAGAGCTTAATAAAACACAGATTTCTGGGTCTCACCCCCAGATTCTGATTTGTAGTTGGGTGGGACCCCAGAATTCACATTTTAAGTTCCCAGTTGATCTCATCATGCTGGCCTGGCGAACCTCACTTCGACAACCACCGGTCTAGTTTGTAACAGATTGACGGGCTACAGCTTCATTCCACAAGTTGGTAAGGAAATCTAAAACAGTGTTTTCACGAATAATAAATATGAGTGATACAATTCATTTTCTTAGATTTTTACCGATTATTGTTAAGAATAAGCTATTAAAAGTTTGTTACATATATAAACAATTATCCCATATCCTGAGGGTTGCGTGTAAATGTAGCTATCCCACAAACATATTTAAAAGCACAAATTAGACACGATAAGCACTTTTAGCCATGGGAAATAAATAAGAATAGAGAACACCAATTAAATTGATACAAATTAAGACCAGGCGTGGTGGCTCACGCCTGTAATCCCAGCAATTTGGGAGGCCGAGGTGGGAAGATGGCCCGTGCCCATGAGTTCTAGACCAGCCTGGACAACAAAGTAAGACCCTGTCTCTACGAAAAATTAACTCACATGGTGCCATATTTCTGTAGTCTCAGCTACTTGGGAGGCTGAGCTGGAAGGATCGCTTGAACCCTAGGAGGTGGAGGCTGCAATGAGTCATGATCACGCCACTGTACTCTAGCCTGGGTGACAGAGTCAGACTCTGACCCCCCCCCACCAAAATAACTGTACAAATTAAAACAACAATGAAACACCATTTTTCCCATTTCAGAAAGGGCTTCTGAAAATATTTTATAATATCCTTTACCTTGTCGGTGGAAGTCTAAGTTCATGCCACCTAGAGAAAGGTGAGTTTCTCTGGTGAGATTCGGAGTCATTATTTATACTTATTATGGTTTCTTATACTTAAACAAAACTATAAAATATGTAATGAAAACGCAGTATAATGTTTTAAAAACCAGTCTTCACTATGAATCATGAATATGAGTAAAACATATTTTAAAATAAAATTGTCTTCTTCATAAACATCCTCTGTAGTTACATTTGGTCACTTTGTAAACAATACATTCAGTAAATTGATGGTGAATGGTAGAGAATTGGCACAGGAGGAGAAAAGGTAGATGCAGACGGGCAGCAAGGTAACACAGAGAAAGGGATTTTAGCTCTGGAGTGGAGGAGTCGTGATGCTGGCCACCTGTGTTGTACAACTCGTATGTCCTCACTAGATAGCTTCTCTCTACAGAAATAGCCATTACTTGATTAACTGCTCCCAGGTCTGCAACTGCTCTGACCATCCAGGTTAATAGCATTGCTCCTGGGCTAGCTGATGTTACTAAATTCTCATGTTCTTAAAGAACCACATACCAGAAAGCACAGCCCAAATAAAGCACCCGTGTTATTTAACAGCATACTCCAACTGAACGCCGCTGCCACATTTGTAGTCTTTTTTATTTCCTTAAACAAATATCCTTTATTCACAGGAGAAACTCTTCCATAGCAACATGAAATAATCTTTCCTACGTGTCATCAGCAATTATATGAATACGTATATGTGTATATACCTATATATGTATGTGTGTATATATATTTGTGTATATATGTGTACACAATACACACGTATCAAAGTAGATTTGTAGGTGAAAGAACAAAAAATGGCAAATGTCAATATCAAAACCTCTATTGCTATAGTTCCTAAAATATATGAAATGCATTAGCATTTTCTGAAAGTTAATTTTCTTGATATTTAAATCATATAAAAATATTGGGCGAACTAATCATGTTCTACACTAAAAAGGCTAATGAGGCTGGGAAACATAAAGAAATTAATCTACATTCAGGACTAAGTTAACCTGTTTTGTAAGCCTCTGGGAACCACTTAACAGAAATTGCATAATCTTGCATAATAGCAAATCGACTGAATAGAAGTTTGCTGATCTAGCATTTAATTCTTGCAGAGCAATTATTGGGAAAGGGTGTTCTGTCTGATAATGAAATTAACATTGCTACTGTATTTAGATTTTTTAAATCCCGTGGAAAGATGAATTTGGTGGAGATGTGATCTCACACACACACGTGCACGTGCACACACAAACACACACGCACACATCCTCCAGTGGTATAAGAAAGCCTCATTCTTTAACCATACTAATGTATTTCTTTTCATGATACCAGTTGATGTAACTATGCAGTTCGATGTTGATAACGGATGAAATGCATGGCTCTTCCTTACACACCAACCCAAAGTTCATACAGATTGTTTTTCTGTTTTCTACCATCACAAACAAGTATCCTTTGGTAAAATCTAGATACGTGAGACGTACACCTTCCCCAACCCTGATAGCTTATCTAAGTTGATAATTTTTAAATTTTTATTTTAGTAATTAAAAACAACTTTCAAAAATAGGACATAGGAAATAACAATCTCCCTTTTTTAGAAACCAGCTTTTCTTACTCTTATATTTTAATGACTTCATCTTGGACTTGCCCTCCCTACATACTGATTTTTGAATCATCTTTCTGAACGTAGACTGATTAGAATTTACAGCTGTTCAGAAACAACAGATGCAACTTTGGTTGCAAAATGAAATTCGAACTCCTTACTAAGGACACAGCCTGATCAGAACATTTCAACGCAGCCTCCTTCTCACCATACAATTCCACATATCCTTTTTAAAATCCCTTTTGGGTGGGCGCAGTGTCTCACGACTGTAATTATAGCAGTTTGGGAGGCTGAGGCGGGTGGATCACCTGAGGTCAGGAGTTTGAGACCAGCCTGGCCAACATGGTAAAATCCTGTCTCTACTGAAAATACAAAAACCAGCTGGGTGTGGTGGCATGTGCCTGTAATTCTAGCTACTCGGGAGGCTGAGACAAGAGAATCGCTTGAATCCAGGAGGTAGAGGTTGTGGTGAACTGAGATTGTACCATTGCACCCCAGCCTGAGCAACAAGAGCGAAACTGTCTCAAAAAACAAAAAAGGGCCAGGTGCCGTGTCTCATGCTTGTAATCCCAGCACTTTGGGAGGCTGAGACGGGCAGATCACTTGAGGTTGGGAGTTCAAGACCAGCCTGACCAACATGGAGAAACCCCATCTCTACTACAAATACCAAAAATTAGCCGGGCGTGGTTGTGCATGCCTGTAATCCCAGCTACTCAGGAGGCTGAGGCAAGCGAATCGCTTGAACCCAGGAGGCGGAGGTTGCAGTGAGCTGAGATCGCGTCACTGCACTCCAGCCTGGGCAACAAGAGCGAAACATCATCTCAAAAAAAATAAAAAATAAAAAAATCCCACTCATTCCTGTAAATTTGGGTGCCACTTGTTAACTAACTTTCTTCTCTCATCCCCAAGGATCAACCTCCACCATCTCCACCATCTCCACCATCATCAGGACCCAGGTCATCTTTTACAACTCTCTCTGTAACTGATAACCTTGACCCATGTTAGCCTGGAGCTCCAGGATCACGGATCTTTCTGAGGTCAGCTCAGTGCCATCACTTTACAGCCTTGTTCCCAGTTCCTCAGTACACCACTGGAGAAAGACTGCCTATGAGAAATAGTCTTTATTGGTGCTTAAGGGAAATCTAAAAGAAATTACAGTATAAATGAAACTTGAAACCCTATCTTAATGTAATTGTTTATAGAGTTCAGGAGAAAAAAAAAAAGACCAAGTTCTTCCCATGATGTCTTCAAAAATGGCCCCCATTGCTAATTCTAATTATCTTTGTTATTTACTAGTCACCTACTCCTTGATAAAAACCATGATTTTGAAGCCCTGCAGTCTAAACCCTCATTCCTCTTTAGAAAAATTCAACTCCTACTGTCAGGGGTTAAGGCAATCCTACTATCTTTCTCCATCTTCTCCCCCAACCAGGACAGCCTAGTGGACACAATAGTTCAGTAGCAGCATGTTTTCCAGAGTCTGAGATATTATTTCAAAAATTGCACCACAGCTGGACTTGGGCAAGTGATTCAGGGTGGTTCAGAACAGGCCCTGACAGACTACATCATTATCTTTGAGTTCTTTGCACGTAAGAAGGGAAGATATGACTCTTTCTTCCTCCTGTAGTAGTCCAGCCTCTTTTTATAGGTTACTGTGGAGGGGATGCATCCGAGTGCATGCGTGTGCACACACACCCAGACGTGCATTGTCCTACATTCATTCTTTCAATGGATATCTTTTGAGACCTCCCAGGTTTCAGCCACTGTGATCAGAAATGTGTTTACAATAATAAGCCAAGCAGAGTTGGAGCTTACAGTCATGTGAGAAAGGCAAGTCACGTCAAACACAAATCTTAACTAGTCAGTGTGATAAGCACAGCAAAGGAAAATTGTAAAGCATGCTGAAATCGCTCAGTCGAGGGTCCTGACCCAGTGTTGGGGTCAGAGAAGGTGTTACTGACAAAGTGACTCTGAATTTCTATCTAAAGTCTAAGTATTGATTAGGTGAAAAAGGAAAACTTGTGACCAGAGGAAGCATCTCTTAAGGCTTAGAATTGCTCCAAATTGTACCAGACAGTGTAAGACTAACTCAAGACAGACCCATCACTCCTACAAAACATAATTCCAATGATATACTCCTGTGATGATGCATCAATAAAATCATATTTAAACATGAAGGGCTATATATTTTTTTAAGTCCTGATGTGGCTAGATTTAAAAGTAAAAATATACATTTATCTTATATCTGAAAAGCTCTCTCTTTCGACATTTTAATATCAGCCACTGCCAGTTATCTTGGGAACCATTTTCCTTTGATCACAGAAGCCTCAATGGCACTTTATCTTCTGGC